AAAATTTTAGAATCCACAGAAAATAAGTGCTGACAGATAAATGGACAACAATCTTCCCAAAAATGCATCAATCCGTCCCATCCTGGGACACCGGTCCATTAGTTTATGCAACCGCTGAAAATAGTATTCATTGGACGAGAACGCTTAGTCAGGCTTCCAAAAACCCATCTTAGGAACTAGGAGGCAGCTTTCGCTGCTGGTACTACCTGGTTTTAAGCGTGTCCACATGGGACTTACCTTATGGAATCGTCAATTAGAATCTCAGTGTATGCCAGTGGAAACCAGCCGCTGCATTGCGTTCGTAAATTTTCGCCAAACTGCCAGCCTTTGTTCCGTTCGCCAATCAGAGCGATCAGGTCACCTTCATGGAAGCTGAGCTGGTTCTCTCCACTGGAAAGATACGCGTAAAGAGCTCTGGCGAGCTGCGCTTCCCATGTGGGCGGAGGAGGCACAGCCATGGACTTGGGACGACGAGACGGCGTATTGTTCTCTTTAATTCAGATCAAAACCGTTCACTCAAAAGCCTGAAAATGTCGCTAATCTGCAAACCTTGCGCTCCGTTGTTCGACGAGTTCAGGTTATATTCAGACTTGGCTCTGGACAAGGTGTTGACTGGCGATCCCACTTCGGCCATCGAGCGAATATCCAGACAAGAAGCGTCCATGCTCTTCGTTTTTCGCAGCTGGGAATTGATGCTGATTCTGTCTTCGTCAAAGTTGGGGCTCCGCGGGTTCGAGTAAAGGTCTTCGTCCTGCCAGACCGAGATTTGCTGAAAAGTTGCTCACATCTTTCACTGCGTCGCACGTGTTACGAATGTTACCCTTATTCGGTTGCTGAATATATTCTCCACGGACTCGGGCAAGTACTCGCGAGTCTTCGCTACTTCGGACCATTTTTCCAGGTTCTGAGTAAACGCATCCGCTCCATACGCATGATATGATAAATAGTGTTTGGCCAAAGAGCATTGCCGTTCCAGTACAAATCCGTATCTTCGCCTTTCTTGAGTCATTGCCTGAGAAAACAAACACTTTTTCATTCCCCGTCTCACATTCAACGAATGTTTTTACTACTGACGTTTTTCAAGCTCTGCTCGCAAAAGGAATCCAGCTTCGTCTTTTCTTCTTCCAGCACCTGCATGTTCTGGAATTTCAACAGGAGTTAATTCACACGCTAGTTTAGAACAAATCAACTGAATAAGTTGCTAACCTTAAGTTCCTTGTCCATGGCCAGGCCAGCTTTGGTCGAACCTCTGGACTTTTTCCGCTGTTTCTTCATCAAAGCGGCCGCCTTGCTGTACGTTTCGGATCGCTGTTTGTGTTGTTGTAAGAATCGCTTTTGTTCAGACTGAAAGAGCCGCAAACGCGACAATTTAATTTGAGTTTCTCCCAAATGTGTTGAAAAATCGTTTTGCCAACATTTCAGCTCGATAGCAGGAATACAATTATCAAATGACAATCCACTTGCAAAATAAGTCGCTTATTCGGCTTTTAGCTAATGGAATTAGACGAAGTTCACTCACCTGAACCACTTTCGTGTCCTTCTCTAAATTTGTTTCCAGCGGCACGAGCAGGTCGACATAAAATGCCTTCAACTAGAAATTCAAGAAAATATAGAAATAGTCCATGTCTAATTTTGCGAAGGTGTTTTAGTGAATTTTAGAATCGACTCGACACAGAAAGCGTGAAAACTAATTTTTCTATCAACTGGTAAATAGTGAAGCAATTAACTGTTACACTAAGGCTTTATATCGGCATTTGCATTCCCGAAAACCGGCACTGCAAGAGCAAATGCAGAATTATTAAACGTGAATAATGCGATCCAAAATCCGACACTAACAAGGTCCAAATTTCTGGCTGGCGCTCATTCATTAATGTAGTTTGAAACTGCTGTTTTACTAAAACGTAGAAAACTGTTCGATAACGAAGCGTTTTCCTCACCACCATTGACAATGGCGATCATATAAACTGCTCAACAAAATAGAGGTTGCACGGAAAAATTTCGACTAACTTTGGAAATCGATAAATTCTTATTGCTGAGAGCAATTCTACTTACGCTACTACTATGCGCGATTTAGTGCAATTCGTTTTCGTTTCGTTTCGGTTCGTGCGTGTTTTTGCAAAAACTTTGTGCTTCAAATACATTTTCTGCAGGGCGGCAAATGAAACAAAAAAACAGTTTTGTTGTATTTCAATGCGACAGGCATTAAGATAGACCTCGTATATCGAACCAAGTTTTTGAATTTTGCGCCCATCTGGTTTATTTACAGAGTGGTCCCAAAAAAAATAACTTTTTGGTATTGCAGTGCTAATTTTCCTGTTTTGAACCGATTAGCAAGATCATAGGCTGTGTATCGAATTTTCGTCTTAAATTGTTCATGCAGTTTAAGGTTGAACAAGAGCGCAAAATCCAAGAGCAGAAAAGATATGGCTGCAAGGCCGAAAAGTTTATTTTTTGGGATCACCCTGTAAATAGACGAGAGGGTCTAGAAACTGAAAAATCGTTTCGAACTATTGGTTTAACTTTGAAATTTTGGTGTCAAAATCCGAAAACCTTTTTTGTCCCACCGAATTTTCCAAAACTTTACATTTTTTTATTTGTCACCCTTTAGAAAGTTTTTGTGGCGTGTTTTATTTCTACCGAAACATTGACTAACAGAAAACAAATGGGGCTCAATAACGCCTCAAACCGAAACCAAATCGCTTGAAGCAATCAGAATTTATCCAGTTCCAAAGTTGGGGCAAATTTGACTGTGCAACGTTCATTTTGTTGAGCAGTTTAGTTACCGTTCGGATTTATTTGGTGTCTTGTTCGTTTTTGCTGTAGAATAAATCAACCGATGGCAAATAACTTGTTAGGGCGAGAACGACAAATTTATTCATTAAAAGTGCCACCGAAACAAGAAGTGAACCGAAAAAAAAACGAACGAAAAGCCAATTAATCCGAAAGAGGTGCTGGAATAAAATCGATTTTGCGCGCGACATAATTGCTTTCTGGACCAGGAAAACTACGAGATCTCTGTCCCCTTGACGCGACCCTTTTTAAGTGGAGAACATTTCCGAGTGGTGAATACAATTATTTTAGGTTCACTTTCAAGAACGCCCGCAAGGCCCCTTTCAGAGGTGTCGAATTCATTTGGTTAACCCAAAGATTAGTTGCATTTTTACACCTTTAATAGCTGTAATTGTCTTCATATAGATGGATATTTTGCCCCATTCAATGACCCCTTTCTTAGCTGTGAGCGGAAGATTTTGAATCCGGTTAAAACGGTACTTTCGCTATGTGACTGCTAATTGCCTGTTTTTAAATCCAATAGTTAAATACTTACAATATTCATTTGCTGGTCTTGAATGTCTTTGTAGACTTCCACTACTCGCATAAGGGCGGCTCCTGAAACATAATATATAAAAAAATACACTCAAATGCATCGAGAATATCTTGCAAAAGTTAAGTTTCCGCATTATCCGGTTAAACCCCTTAGTACCCATTTCAAAGCCGCAACTTTCCTTTGTTTGTTCTTGAGAGAGTTCTTATATCCCGGCACGTAATGTAAAAATAACTGCCTTATATACGTACACAGCAACTACTGTGTCACAGTAACAAATGTAGCTACTTAAATCCCAGTCGAGTGAGGTCTGAAGAAAATTTATGTCCACAAAATCCGTAAAAATCTCGTTTAAAGTGACACCGAAGCATAAAAAACTAGTTTGTTGGATGCAAATTCTTGGAATAGTGGAGCATAATGGGGAATTTCGGCTCTTTGAGCGAAGGAAGTTGCTATTTTAGCAACTAATTATGAAAAATTCGCAATAAAGACAGTTTTATGAGGAACATTCACTGGGAGTGGCTTAGATCTAAGGGATGTATTTGGTTAATTCCCTAAAATATTCGGGTATTAATGGAAGGATATCCTCCTCTCCAGACAACTAAACAAGCTTAAACCCGGATTAATGTTGTTTAGTTTTCGGGAAACTCGCATCTGAATAGCCGAATAATCGTTGGAGCTTAATCAAGACCGACCACTATAGTGTACTTATCCCCCATAGTCTCCAGCAAATCCTTTCCCGAAAATATTGACATGATCAAGAGCCGGATGGAGATACAGACCATTAGGATAAGAAGAACTTGCAAATCTATATGGCACAAATTTGCAGCGCATAACCAATGGGAGAAAGAACCCCATATAAATGTGAAAACAACTCGACAGGTGTTGGTAACACATACCAAAGACCCTCTTTTATCAGCGCTTGTTCCAAATTAATATTTAAGTGTAGTCGTTTTAAAATGCCATCCAGTCCATTTTCCCCGGTTTGTTTCGACGAGAGGCTTTTAAGGAACCCAGCAATTGAGGCTCCCTATAATAGAGCATCAATGTAAGTTATATTTTCCACGAGAATTTGCGCCGTTTGCGACTGGAAAACATGGGGAATGCACAAGAATATACAATATAGGCGCCGGAGAAATTCTTAATAACGCTAAAACAATTCGCGAGTTCAACTACCGATGGGGAAGTGTGAGTTGCATTTGTAACAAAAATTAATCTAAGCAGACGTACAATACAAGTTTTGACATAATATTGTGCTCTAAGTGCTCGATACTCAAATTTCGCTTTCCTTTCTTTCCAAAACTACTCGAATTTCTTCACTCATGTTGTTTTGACTGAAGCGCATTTTCAAGTCTCTATCCAACGATACCAAAACGAATTTTGTGGCTAAAATGGGGCTGGAGGAACTTTGAAAAAAGCAGCGTTAGGTTTGAGGCGATTTTGCAACTCAACCAAAAACACGCAAATCTAAAACTTCTCGAAATCAAGACTTTTTTGAGAAAAATCCAGCATTTCTTTATCGAAGGCCATTTAGTTCTCTCTAGAGCGATGTAAAAATGTGCATTCTTGATCATTTTGCGTCCGAGAAATGAGCAAAAACGCGACGGAAAACATGAAATTTTGGCATAATCTTGCGCCTCAGTGTCTAATATTCAAATACCGATGGTGGCGCTGCAAAACGTCAAATTACTCGTTGTCGAGTGACAGTTGAGTCTTGTCAGACTTGTTTATTTATTGGAGTTGGTGACATTTATGACATAACACAATGATTGCACACTTTTCGATCTGTTTCCATTTCTTTGAAAGCTTGCAAAAGTTGACTAGAGCAAAACAAAACAAATCACAATCGGATGTAAACACCAATATAAACAAAACAAGTGTCAAATTAGTACCTAACTTGCAGTTATAATTTTAGCTACCTGGGGGCGTCTGGACTTTTGAACTCGCGAATATTTTTCAGTAAACCAATGAGACGGTAGACACTAAAAGCTAGTTCACAGGGTGACATTACTATAACAGTGACATCTAATGTGGTCCACAACAGTTGCATTGCCTTGACGTTAGTGTCAGTTGTCAAAATGGTTTGACATATATCTACAACACCGTGACACTAGCGTTAGATGTCAGTGTGACATTAATGTCACCGTGTGAAAAACTTTAAAAGCAACGGATTGATGAACAGTGCATTAAGGGTCCCATTTGATACCGAAATGTTTGGAATGCTGGCAGGGCTGGAATTAAACGGCTGGCCAAATGAATTCGAGGCCGAAGGCAAAATGCCATTTAAAGAGGAAATTTTCCAATTAAATCTAAAGGTAATACGTGGAAGTCGTTTATAACCGACGAGGGGTTAGTTCTAATGGAAAACGTATGGAAATTAAAGTATTGGATTAAGTTGTATGCTGCATATCCTGCTCGCTCTAACCCGGCCGGAGGAAATTAACTTCCTATATGTGTGGAATACTTAAATTTTCATCAAACCAAGATAACGAACCGAACAGCAATTTCTGTCAGTCTGCTTGTTTATTGCTTTCACAGGTTATAGTTATGCGGGGTTTCTAAGCACGCCTTAAGGGCTCGAACTTCCTAATGGAGGGAGTGTCACTTCGTCTAAACCTTTATCTTTTTGTGAATGCGACTGTTTGAGTGACTGTACGTGTATAACTTAATATGACAAAAGATACTTGCTCATTACCTCTATTCGGTGAATAATCAGTTGCCTTGTGTATTTGCCCTCTCTACTGCTGAGTAAACAATTGTAAATGTCTGCTCTCCACAAAATTCTGCCTACCCGAGACTTTAGCGTCCTGGGAAGGAGCATGTGTACGGAAAATGCCCCTCCTGCTCAATTCACCGCCTTCTCCAGTAATATTTATTTAAAAAGGCCAAACTTTCTGGACGAACTACGCGCCTAGTTTTTCACAGTTTGTTGAACCGAATAACAAATTTGTAGTAGGATTTACGCGCTCGCTCGAGCACAATCGCATTTTCGATCAAAATAATTGCGGCATTTATTTCAACATTTAAATACATTAAAAATATTGACTAGCAATACTGCGAGTGTTTTAACAAGAGTTCCACTCTAAACCGCTTATTCGATTTTGATCAATTTAAGCTTGATTGTAGATGTGAATTCAAATGTAAGTACTTGGGGAGATCTCACCATAGGCCCTGGTGAAACTAAATGCACTTTATTAAATCCCGTTATTTGCAGTATTTCAATCGCTCAAAATTATCCCCCGGGAATTTGAATTAAATTTCAAAACTGCGTAATCAATTTTGATAATTTGCCATTATTTAATTGACGTAAAATGTTCAGTAAAGTCGTATATTAATCATGGATTATTGGAATTTGTTCGGAAGCTAATTAGGATGTCCGAGGCGAATTATTAAACCGCAATTTGTCCACAAACGTTGCGAATCAAAACGCCAGTATTGAGTAGTAGTAACTACAACAATATCATATATTTGATTATCAGCTGCGCCCCCGTGTTTGGACGAATGGCAAAATTAGCAAACCGGGAATTTTTCCATTTTGAGCATTATTAACATTCAGTGTAAATTACTGGCCGGCATATTAGGCTCTAATTAAGCCGTCGTTAGTCCACTAATGGATAAAAGTGTCATATTTATTCATCCCCCTCATCGAAATATCAATGCATATAAATTAGCTCTAATGCATCTCATATAAAATTCTGTTAAGAAGACCAAACATCTTTTGCGCCGTCGAACAAGTTTCGTCTTCGTGGTCTTTATCACGCAAACTTCCGCTCCACAAGCAACATAAATTCAAATTTGCTTTAATTAATATTTAAATGAAATGTACACCTCGCGGTTCGCGAAAATTGGGGAAAAGTGTGCCAATATTTCGCATCAAAGGCCTTTAATCGAAAATGAGTTAACAGCAACACACTTTGAACTGTGTTGCCCAATTTTTTTGCGAAATTTACAAATAAACTGGCCACACTTTTTTATTTGCAAGCGATTGTCGTAAAAATCTGTGTGTTTTCGAAATAATATCGCCCGACACCCGGTACAAAATTCAGCCAATTAGCAACACGGCAAGCGCAAAGCATGGAAAATTCGCATCCCCGTCGCCCCATTCTTCATCCCTTGCATAAGATAATTTTCGCCTACTATGACTACCTAATTTTCTTGTAGCGTCTAGGCATTTGTTTTCGCGTCAGGGCCAATGTGATCAAGCGCACCTCTTGATAAGGGTCTCCGGAGGATTCTGCATTGTTGATGTGTTAAGTTAGTTGGAGGATTTAATTTCAACGAAAATTAATAGGCTCATAATGTATGGGCCTAGTTCGGAGTCTTATCTTTACACGTGCACCTCCTTTGGGTTTTTGGAGGCTCCCGCGTCTACCTTAAGCCTCAATTTCAAGGCTCAGGTAACAGGTAAACATTATATACAAATGCGTTAGGTGAGCCGGAAAAATGCGAACAGAAGCCACTAGATGATATAATGGGTTTCATATACTTTTGCTTCTGCCACAACACAACCTCTCTATTGTCTCAGGTGTTTTAAAGGGTCGAGGCTATTTGTTTAGCAGACTTGCGGTCCGCAATGTTTGTATGAGGGCGGCCTAATCTACGTAATGCCTTGTTTACTGTCGAGAAGGACTTCCCTCTTTGATGTGCTCAAATGAGGGATGCGGATCGTGCAAAAACTCCGTGACAAATGATTTCGGAAGTTGTCGGCTAGTTAATGTTTTGCTTACGGGTGACGGTTATAAATGAACGCTGCTAAGCATGGGTGTTATTCCGTAGACGGCAACATTTTGCCTCGTAACTTTCTAAACATTCGCTTTTGCCCTCTGGAGAGAGCATATATATGTGAAATCAAAGTTGTTTGCAATAACTAAGTTTGCTCTATTTAGTTCGCCGGTTATTCAGTTGTACATCGATTCTTATCCGAGACGGGTTCCTGCTAAACAACCTCGATCAGCCATTTAGGGGCACGAATTTGAGGCTAAGATAAGCTGCAAGCCCCAATTTGAATTGACGATGCCGTTAGGATCCCCCAGCTTTCTGCAAGCCGTATCTCTCAGTTTATGTTGGGGCTCAGTTGCCAATTTCGCGCATATTGGCAGATTGGATGCACTGCGTTTCGAAATTCTAACTAGCGTGCGGCCGAACATTCAATTTTCTCAACAAATATACCTTTAAAGACCCAATTCGGTGTTCTCGCTCAATTTTCAAGCTTTATTAATTTTCAAATTTATATTAATACGTAGGTGGCTACATTTCCTGGAAAATCACTATTAACTTCACTAATAAAGTTATAAAGGCGGAATTGTGTTAAACTGCTAACCTTTGACGTTAAACATTCCCAAATTCGGGGCCAATCAGAATTATGAATAGACGACGCATAATAAGTTTACCAAGAACGTCACATGGGAAACAGGGAGACCGTAGAAAATCACCGCAGCTTCGGGGGATCCGTTTTGAAAAGAAAATGACGCTTAATACCAGCTTGAGTCAACGGTTTAGAGGAAATTGACTTTCGGATTGGGCTTTTTTCATTCGGGTTCAGCCTCTATTTTCGACTTCTCTTCGGCAGACTGTATTGTATTAACTGCTTTTTGACTTTATTGCAAGTCGCCAGCAAAGCAAAAAATGCGTTTTTAAATAATCTGGAAATTTTACTGAAAGAGTCGATTCCAAAAAAGCTTCCACATAGAAAACATATTGATAATATATCATCCTTCCCCCTTATCGGCGGCAGTTGCGGGTCGAGACACTGGGGCTCAACTAACAGTAAAAAATCTCAAGTTTATTAAGAAAAACTACCAACAACACTTTCTCATAAAAAGGGCTTTAGCGCGAACGTGTCCCATTTATTCCGCGGCCCTGTTTCACTAAGATAACGACACCAGTGGCGGACCTAGCGAAAAGAGAAGGAAAAGTGTTCTGTGGCAACTAATTATCACTTTCAGTGCAAAATTTTTTAAATACTTTCAGCCAACGTGATGGGAAGTAAACCAAATTTCAAAATTTAAAAAAAAATAAAAAATGAAAAAAAATTTCAAAAAATCCTCAAATTGATAAGAACTGAATTGACACTTTCAAGATTAATAAAACAGAGTCTAATCTATCGAATGGTATAGCAAATGGTTATTTAACGTATGCGGATTTTAAGTATGTAGCGGATTAAAAAATACATAAATTTCCAATGCGGAAGTACTCAAACTGCATTTTCAAGTTGGAAGCTTGGAAACTTCTCGAAAAATTGAGAAAAGTCGGGCATTATTTCCGACTTCCGGGATTAGAACAGCAATGCATCTTCCTATTAAATTGTGCTTCTTTCCTTCTGCCCAATTTGAGTGTAAAATGTTTGAAGACCCTCTTTCATGTGCGGTGGAAATTTTATTGCATTTTCCAGCATCAAAATCAAAACAAACCCAAAATTTGAGGAAAAGTAGGAGAAATCTCTTGAATCCTTTTAAAAAATGTTTGTTAGCTAGTCATCATTTTTCATGGATTTATTTTGAAGATCTTCGGAAACGTGGTAGAAAACATGTATTTCAATTTTCAGATATTAAAAAATCTCATAAATTGATGAAAACTGAGAATAAATTCATATCGGAATAATAGGGTAAAAGCTTCTCTATTGACTGGTATAGATACTAGTCGCTCTTGAGTACCTGATTTAAAAAAAATCAACTTCTAAGGCGGTGGCACTCATACTGCAAGCTTCAAAAAAAGCTTTCGAAAAATTAAGCAAAAGAAGTAATCATTACTGACTGCCCGAATTAGTAAAACAATGTATCGTCTACTACTTAAATAGTGTCAAAAGAATGTATATCGCTTTTCCGCTATTTAAGTAGCAAATCTCTTTCATGCACGGTAGAACATACTCCTCTTTCAGGCTTCAAACGACAGAAATTCCTAAAATTTGAGAAGAAGTGAGAAAAAGTTATCACTGGCAGGCTATCAATAACCATGTTTCTTCTACTGGATTGTATTATTAACTGCTCGCAAGATGTTCACCGTTCTGAGTGCCAAATTTTTAAAAATTCTGCTAACGTGGTGGAAAATGTACTTTTACTTGCCTCTTGTTGAAGGCAAATTTTTGAAGAAACCTCTTCCAAGCGTAGTTAAAGTTACATGGCATTTTCAAGTTTCAAATATAACTTAATTCCCAAATTTGAAGAAAAAATCGCCAAGGCAGAACTTTGAGAATAAAGTTTTATCTCTTGCATAGCAATAAGTAATCAGCATTTTGGGGGCTAAGGTTTTTGATCAATTAAATTCCAAACGTAGTAGAAATTAAATTTAGTTTTCAAGCTTCATTCGCTAACAAAATCGCCCAAATTAAAGGAAAGAAGAAAAGTGAGAACAAATCAACACCTGCTGGATTAGTAAAGAAAATCCTCTTCTATTGAACAACGTTAAGAACAATCCTGAAGCAAACAGTGTTCTAAGCACAGTTTTATGAAAAAGCTCTTTAAAACCTATAAAAAATTCCGACAAATTCAGGAAATCGGAACTTGCAGACTTAATGAAATACAATTTATAAAGACAAATAACTGAAAACGTCTGAAACTCAAATCGCATTTTCAAGCCTTAAACTAAAAAATCCCTCAAATTGAAAATAATTTCATAATAAACAGCTCAAGATTCAAACCCAAAAAATGAACGAAAGTGAATGTAAATTAACGTCTTAACTTTATCAAACCAATGTCCATCTATTTTATAAATATTAAAGATTTTCTATTTCCAATCACGGTTTCAAGTGCGAATTTTGTTAAACCTTTATTTGAAACGCAGGAAAACTTTCCTGCTATTTTCATCTTCATGCTTTACTTCGAATGCCGAAAAAAGGAGAATAAATCGACACCCGCAGAATTTATAAAACTAATCTTTTTCTATGCTTAAATCGTGTCCAAAGTCGCCCTTTTACCAAGGTGTATTTCAACTACCAAACTTTTGAAATATTCTGTTATCACTGTCACGATGCAATGACTTAAAGAAAGACGCTAGAGAAGCTTAAAAGAATCCCACAAATTGATGAAAATTCGGAAAAAGCAACACTTGCAGGATTAATCGAGCAAAGTTTCCTCCATTGAATGATATTGAAACTGGCCACATAACTTGTTCTCGTTTTGCAAAAGGAGGATTCGAAATCAGTTTGAAGTGAATTGCTTCAATCTCCTTACGAGCTGGAAAACTCTAGAGTTGTTAATTTAAGGCCCCTCGTGAAGTGGAATTTCGTTTGCTTTTTCAATCAAATACCTAAGAACGTCCGGCCCTGGAGCATCTTCCGAAAAGTCGATACAGTGCAGAACATCTGCAGACCCTTTGGGAATATATATTGAGTTTTAGCGTTGCCGTTGTTTTAGGAAAAAAATGACCATTTTCAGATTTACGACCATATTAATGGAACTTGGAATTCAGTAGTGTTTTTCGTCCAAGACCCCAAAATCGCCAAATATCCAACTTCAACCCATTAAATAAATCGTAATCGATTACACGCCAATTCCAGTTAACGCAATCGGAAATACAAAAGTTGTGGATTTGAATTGATAATTACGAGTGCGAAGTATATCAAATTACACCTAACCATCCCGCTAAGCAAATGTATAAATTTGGCGAACAAATAGGAAACCACGCAGATATCGTTCGACGATTGGAGTAAATTATTGAGGCGTACATCTCCGGATAAAAACTTTGGAAATTCTGTTTTTATTCTCCGTTCTTTCGGGAGATGAAAACTAAACACTGTCAGACTCGAGTAACCTCTGGTGAACTCGTAACGTTGTTAGTTCACCTTTTTGCTTTCCTTTTTACACATTCTTCCTTTTCTTTGTGGGTTTTCCAGGTTTGAGGGAAATATTTATTGAGCATTGTAGACATATGATTTACTTTTACCGGACGGCAAAATAACAAATCAAATGCTAATAACAAATAATAAGTACAAGGCTTGAAACAAGTATGTAGTTACATTCAGTTCGTCGAACTGGAATTTTATCTTGAAAATTTATTCGCCCTGTAACAATAAATGTCAATAAATACCGAACGAAACAGTGTGAGCCCTTAAACTTGGATAAATCCTTTCTCCGAATGAGGAACCGGAAACTCGTCAGCTCTAAGCTGTGTCCACAGGGAGGGTTCAAAGACACAAAACCGGTTTTAGATCCGACACTTTTGAGCTGCGTAGGAAAAACGAATTTTCTTTGCAAAAGTTTAGATAATCATCCAACTTTTGTATTTCATTTGCATTGAAGATACATCCAAAATTTGTTTGCGCATCAGCAAAAGATCATTATGTTTAATTTACGAACTTCCAGAAATACTTCTTATTTCGAGTGCTCTTTCCACAATCCACAACTTGAAGCCAATTGAAAGTGGCTTTATTTGGAAAAAAAGTCTTGAGAGTGAATCGATTGGGGCCAGGCCCCCTTTAAAGATCTAAATGATCCATCCAAAGTGAAAGCAATCTCAAGGACCGCCATTTGTAAGCTTAGGCACGCAGACTGGGGGAAAGCTTATGAAAACAGAACTCGGCTTGTAGTTTAGGACAAAGGGGATTTTTCAACTTTGGAAACCGAACTTTGCCCAATAGGGCTTATGAGCTGTTATCGCTCCCCACTATCAGCTACAATAGCATGTTAAGCACTCACCTATGTCGGAGGATCCTCCCCACGTGCCTTGTTGAGCCTGTTTAGCCAATTTGCTGATCGCATCAACGTACATTCGCGAAGCCGCAGCTGCACCTTAAACAAAATTCGGACATTAATAAAATGTTGTTTTCAACATGTGGGCACGGCAATTTACAAATACTCTTACGAATGTTACATAACTAAACGAATTTTGGTTTAAAATATCTCTCAGACTACGTCAAAGAACAAACAAACAACGGAAAACCGTGTGTTATTCACTAAAAGAGTGATAAAATCAGAACACCGGAGCCGAGTCCTTTTGAATGCTCCGGCAAAATTAAACTTCTGGTATTATTTCAATAAAACCCACGTTTAATAACTCGAATAGACATGTCCGCAATAAATTCACTACAATTTTATTCAGTCACATACTAATTAATTTGGAAACTTTCAATTGTTCAGCCACTAAATTGAATTACACCATGTCAAAGTTCGTCGTTTTCATGCAATATTTTCGCAGGCAAGTTTTAATTAAAATTTGATTTTGTTTTGTGTATATTTGCCAACTTTGAGATGCAGTACACCAGACTTTGCATAATGTTCAACCGTCCAGAGTGGAGGTTTCAATACAAACTAATGGGCAGCAAATGCATACAGACCGTCCAGCTTCGTTAGCTTAGAAAATCTCACTTTTGTTCACCAAGATTCTATGTGGCTGAAAACTGATTTTTTACGATTCAACGCCCCACAGTAACATCTGGTGCGTTTCTTCTTTACTTCCAATTTCCCAGCTGCATTGACTGGGCCAATTTCTTCTAAATAATCATGATCGTAAAATTTTTTTATTTTTGTTTCTTGGGATATTATTGTTGATTGTTAGGGATTAAATCCACTTTTCGATTGTAAATTTTCTCATATTGGATTTTTTTCATAATTAGATAGCGTATGATTGCCACGTTTTTTTCAATTTGGAACCGCGTTCCCCAAAAAGCAAATTTATTCAATTTTCTAGATTGGATTTTACAATTTTACGTTCGCTTTTCTAGGATTGTTGAGGGTTTAGGATTAAGGCCAGTTTTTTTCATAATTTTTTTTCATAATTTTTCATAATTTCAACCCCGTTTCATAAGGAGCAAATTTATTCAATTCTTTCGGTTGGATTTTACAATTTTACGTTCGCTTTTCTGAGCGTGTTGACGGTTTAGGATTAAGGTCTGTTCTCGATGGGAAAATTTTCTACAACTTGATTTTTCCATATTTTAGTAGCGTATGATTGCCATGTTTTTCAATTTAAAACTGCGTTTCCCAAAAAGCAAATTTATTTAATATTCTCAGTTGGATTTTACGTTTTCACATTCGCTTTTCTAGGCTTGTTGAGGGTTAAGGATTAAGGCCAGTTTTTGATCGAAAATTTAAAAAAAATCAAATTTTCATAATTTCAACCGCGTTTCATAAGAAGCAAATTTATTCAATTCTTTCGTTTGGATTTTTCAATTTCACGGACGCTTTTCTGAGCGTGTTGACGGTTTAGGATTAAGGTCAATTCTCGATCGGCAATTTTCTACAAGTGGCTGTTTTCGTAATTTAATAGTGTATGATTTCCCTGTTTTTTCAAATTAAAACCGCGCTTCCCAAAAAGCATATTTATTCAATTTTCTCGGGTGGATTTTAGATTTTCACGTTTGCTTTTCTAGGATTGTTGAGGTTTAAGGATTAAGGTCAGTCTATGGTCGGAAATTTAAAAAATTGAATTGTTTTCATAATTTAGTGGGGTACGATTGCCGAATTGTATTAGAGGAGGATTAAGGATTAAGGTCATTTATGGTCGGAAATTTAAAAAATTGAAAATTTTTCGTAATTAGTAGGGTACGATTGCCGGTACGATGTTTACTCGAATTAAAATCGCGTTTCCTAAGAGACAAAATTATTGAATTTTCCTTTTGGATTTTATATTTTCACGTTCGGTTTTCGAGGATTGTTGAGGGTTAAGGGTTAAAGCCAGTTTTTATCGGAAATTAAAAAATCGAATTTTTCATAATTTAATGGCTTATGATCGCCATGTTATTTCAATTTCAAACCGCGTTTTAAAGGAGTCAAATTTATTCAATTTTTTCGGTTGGATTTTGCAATTTTACGTTCGCTTTTCTAGGCGTGTTGACGGTTAAGGATTAAGGTCAGTTATCGATCGGAAATTTTCTACAAGTTGATTTTTCCATATTTTAATGTCGTATGATTGCCATGTTTTTCAATTTAAAACTGCGTTTCCCAAAAAGCAAATTTATTCAATTTTCTCAGTTGGATTTTACATTTTTACCTTCGCTTTTCTAGGATTGTTGAGGGTTAAGGATTAAAGCCAGTTTTTTTCATAATTTAGTAGGGTACGATTGCCATGTTTACTCGAATTAAAACCGCGTTTCCTAACAGGCAAATTTATTCAATTTTCACTGTTGGATTTTAGATTTTCACGTTCGCTTTTCCAGGATTAATGAGGTTTAAGTGTTAAGGCCAGTTTTTTATAGGGAATTTAAAAAATTGAATTCTTTATGATTTAATAGCCTACGATTGCCATCTTTTTTCAGTTTAAAACCGCGTTTCCTAAGAGGCAAATTTATTCAATTTTCTCGGTTGGATTTTACAATTTTACCTTCGCTTTTCTAGGTTTATTAAGGGTTAAGGATTAAAGTCAGTTTTCAATGGTAAATCTTAAAAATTCAATTTTTTTTCATAATTTAATAGTGTAAGATTGTCATGTTTTTTCAATTAAAAGCCCCATTTTTTAAAAGGCAACTGCATTCAGCACTCAAGAAAGATCACTTTTTAACAATCCAGTGCAGCGAAACAGTAGGTAAAAAACCCGAAAATATATTTTTATTTTATTTAATTTATGTTTTCCGGATTAAAATTGCGCCTATCGGACGACACGTCCATTCGTCTTGTGTCACATGGAAACGGTCGGAAAATAGACTTTTCGGCAATCCTGACTGGAGAAAAGTATTGCACTGTCGGAAGGGACATCCGGGGTAGACAAATTGTCTTTAGATTGAACATCGGAGGGTGGCGGATATCGCAAAAGTCCCAAGGTCTATTCAAAATTCGAATAGTTACACACTGACTATGAATCAATTGATAATCATTTTTGCCTCATAAGGACAAATTTTTTGAAAATTCTTTAAAGCGATATGGGATGGGAATTTTTTAACTTTGCTTTCAACAAAGCAATAATTTCGCAGCATGATCGGTGTATTTCTCTCTACGTATTAAAACAAAAAAAACGGTATTGGAATCCCCTTCAACGCAAAGCGAAATAATTTCAATCCGACCTGACGCTGATACAATTACAGTTAACGAAGCGTGATGGAAAACATGTTTTTTTACAGGATTTGTTTCCAGGCTGCAAATTATTCTCTTGTGCACGTGCGACAGCCGAAGGCAAATTAAATTAGGTATGCAGAAAATTTCATTTTAATTGTAGTGGCTGTTGGTGTTGGTTACACATGAGGATCATCTTTTTACTGTTTAACTATCGAAACAATCGCAACAGATCCCCAACTTCCTCCAGCTCGGCCCATTTGGCGTTTCACTAATGCGAAGTTACTTAACCGATTTAAGTAACCGGAACGGGCTGGAGAGGGAATTTATTCCGAAAAATTTCACTTTAATTACAGAAGCCCGAAATAAAACAAAGCTCCGGTGCGTTCGTCTAAGCCTCGGTCCCATTTTCTGGAGCAATGCAATTAAGAAAGTGAGATTTACTGTGCCCAACTTGACAACTTTGAGTTATTCTATGCAATTTTTTCTTTAGCAGCTCGATAACGGTCCGTTCTTTAGGATTTTAGCGTTGCTTCATTGCATTGAAATTTGAAATTGAGCGTTTTAAAGGACAAATTCAACGCTTGATTTGGATCGACATCAGTTCCCTTTGCGTTATTAAGTTACTTAGTGGAATGGAATTTCGATATTCTGGCAGAAATTCCTATTGACAATGTAGTGTCTTTACCAGGTGAAATACTCGAAATTCGCAATGTTCAACAGTATCATTGACTCTCAACTAGAATCAAACGGTTCAAATTCCCAATCATTAATTTTGCGGGTTTGCAACTGCAATCGCAACGGCTTCGCTAAATTTGTGTGCATACAAGCCCATTGCTGTGTTAAAGTGTTTTAAAAAGGCCACACAAGTCTAATGCGGAAGTTCAGGTTGAAGTAATAAGAAAAAACCTTATGGTAAATTATAGACCAACAAATAAAATGAAATTATCCCATTCAAGCAGACTTTCGCCATTCTCTTGCCAAATGTGCGTTGGCATCGGTTGAGCCATACACAGTTTATGGATAATTCCGAAAGTTTTATTTCCGTTTATTCTCTTGGCTTAGTCCCAGTCGTGAAAAACATGTCTGTTGTATTTAAAAGGCTGCATTACGTATATTTACAACATCCGAAAGCTACAAAGCTTCAAATATTAGCTTGACAAAACTTTTGCTGAAAATGCCCTTCAGGACACGATCTATATTCCGTCAGTTGCTCCTTGCTCGAAGAAATGTCGATAAATGAATAATAAATAAAATCAAATTTGGAAAACTGCCGTTGTCGATTCCTGGATGGAAAATGGAAACTTTAGGGACGTCGCGTCGCTATTTTACACATACCTAGTTTCCGATCTACAGCTAATATGATGTTGTTCAGAGTTACCTCTGAAGATGATCGCTTCTCGTCGCAGCGAAACGTTCAGCAGAAGTTCAATAATGCGAAACTTTACCAGTTGAACCCTTGGAACGATAAAACATGTTGCAATGTACGATCCGGGCCATTTCAATTCTAAATTGTAATTAGACCCGACTCGGTATCATCTAACAATACAGTCTGTCAGTAACATTTGAAACCACAGTGTGGCAAACGAATAATTAGTTTGGCAACTCTGCACATCATTTGAATGTGTGCCGGCCGTTAATTAAATTAGTTTGGACATTTTAATGTCCATTAACAACTGGAACTTTTATCAATTACGTAAGGCCAGATGAACGAACTTTGGTTTGATTAAAATCTTATGTAAACGATAGTTCGCTATGGGGAAGCTGGCAATTAAAACAGTGAAACCCAAAAAACTATCTATCAAAATTTGCGCTATTGAAAAAATAGACTCTATGCCCTTAAGGTTGCACACCCAGTATTTTTTCGCCAATCAACAGTTGCTTTTTCGAACTTTACGGTTACCTAAGGAGCCTTGCAATGATGCGAATTTACGATATTTGGGGCATTTTGATATTTGATTTTTTCCACTACTGCCTGAGTGGCGCAAAAGAGTTATTATTCACTTCATGCCTCGGATTAAATGGGATTTGCGTCAAGAATAGGGCTCATATCAGTGCCACGTATGCTCCAAGGCCCTATCGGTTAAAATAATTGGGATAATAGCAAAAGGGGGCTTAATAGCAGGCCCCTTATAGTTAAATTTGCCTCCAAAATAAACGAGAGGTGGCGGAAACGCGGCAGCGCATACATGAATAGCTGCCGGCATATTATTCGGATAATCCCAAACTCAAACATTATTATCCTTGTTCGGGCAGGATGATTTTGTGATTGGGTTTTAAAAGTTGACTAACGCACTTTTCCTCATAAGGGCGCAACGCTGAATAACATGTTTCTGTAGCACAGTTATGATTGACTGCTTAATCTTTTCGTTTCGTCGCTTATCTACATTGAGTTCATACAAAACGGAGGAGGCGAAAAACAAAAAAAATGATTGATGATGGTTCGCTTTCTTAAAAATGAAACTGCGAGCAGTCAAGTTGGAGTTTTGTGTATTTGTACTACGGTGTCAGCTTGATGTACGATTAATGTTTCCTGGCGTGTACAAAAAAATCACAATCGACTCAGTTGGGTGTTTGAAGCGTTTTGAACAAAATCTGGATTCATAAATAAAGTTCATTTTAATTTCCCAGTTTATTAATCGAGCAAGCCACAGACCGAAAGTAAATGTATCTTTTTCGTTCAAAAGTATGTTTTTGCGCATTTATATCCATGGAAGCAATTATACTGTTTGCGAACTAATTTTACGCTTATTTCCGTGCTACCGCACGTTTATTGGATAATAACACTTTTTTATACATATAAATAAATTGCGAATCCGAAGTGGATTCGGAACAGGAATAGAGCGATAGAGCCAAACATTAAAATACACTTATACGACTATCGGTGGTTCATGACAAGGTGATTAGTTTTTAAAAATTACCGATTTATTTGAGAACAAAAAATTAGGAAATTGCTATTGAAAGCCGACTACTCCGATCTATCCTGGATCGCATCGCAAAGCACGATTAGTTCAACGGGCAATTTTAAACAGAACAGCGTTGCATAAACCCCGTTTCGGACTCTCAATTCAGGGCGTCGATATTTTCTGGAACAGATTAAGCAAAAATTTGACGAATTAATTTAGATTCGTCCGACAGCTAAACAAAACGGAAAATTTTCTTGATCTTCGGTGGAAAAGAGCCGAAAAAGATTTGAAAAAAAGGCTGTGAAAATGTTGCCAAGACAGTCAAGGAGAAACAGTGAGAACCGCCCAAAGTTTCATTGCCCACTGGTATGCATCCATTAATAGTTGAATTCGGAAACTATCTTCCCCACCGGGTGAAGAAACTTTAATCGAATAATGGGAGAAATTTGTTTTCGCTATCGAAAACAATGGTAAAACTACGTACTTTCTACCAAGGGTTCAAGAAAATTAAAATTAAATATGGCAAGTGTCAGGTCCTGTAGCCTGATTATGTAGCGAACGTGGAGTCAAAACAAGTAAATTAAATTACAAAAACAAATCGGGTTACTTACTGTGAAGCGCCTTTAGATACGCCTTTCCGGCGTTGATCATTTGCCTCGCTCCCGGATTGAACTTATCCAGGATGTTCTGAAACGAAAATTAACAGTTTTATTTGCTGTCGCCGGATATTTGATTCAAATGGCCGGTTTAATTTGCTCTTTACGACCGGTCGTTTCGGCTAAACCATTTAAACTCAGCACTGATTAGTCGCAGCTAAGTGGAAGCTCAAACATCGCAACTTGTATGGACAAACAAACATATTTATAATATGAGTGGTGAAAAAAGTTGTGACAAAAAACCCCCAAAAATTCACATCATGTAATGTTTCAATGTAACCCAGTTGGGATGCGAAATTTGTTTCAGTCAGGTTTATTCACATAAAAACGGGCTTTTGAACAAAAAAACCCAATTCCATTTCGCGATTTGAGTCTCCTTTTGTGACCGCCAATTTAATTTCCAAGCTATTAAGCAGATGTCGACACCAGCAAATGAAAAACACCCCCAATATACCATTTGCCCGATGAAAATCCTCCGCGGTAGTCCGAATTAGCAAATCGCTGCATGGTTGGATGAGCGTGCGATACATTTGAGAGGAAAAAACGATGAAATGAAAAATATGTGTTCTTTGAAAGCTGGTTTTTCGCTTTCGTGCATAAGAAAAAGTCACGGAAAGTTAGTCGACTCAACACCATTAGAGTTTGGGGCCACTTAAGCAGATAAACCCGAAACAAATCCAGAAATTTCACCCGTTAACACTAGAAAAAGCTGTGTGTCCCCTGACTCTCCAAGGGTTGAACAGAAACAGCTATACGCCCTGGGACCGACTCCAGGCTTTTCGAACGAGCTTATTATAAGAGCTTTGAAGTGTGCTCAGGGCGACGCAGGGTTTAAGCGGTTTTATAATAAGCTGAAAATTAAATGGAGAGTTGTTTATACTCGCTTTGTGGTGTGCACCGGATTTTTTTCAAAGGGTTTTTATCCGAACAAGGGCTTGTGTGGAAACGGCGAGTCTCTTTAATCGCGCAATCCGGTATTTACGGAATTAAAAGCTTCACTTTGGGTTCCAGTCTAAAGATCCTTTTGCACCAACTCTCCAAATAATGCGAAAAAGAAAATTTGATTGTTACGAAAGTTTTTAACGAATTGTGCCCACTTGCCAGTAAATAGCAATTCTCGCAACGTCGGCCGATAAAGACTTTTAATGTTACAAAAAACGCTCGCAAAAGCAGTTGCACTAATCGGCCCTTAAACATCAGTGCCTTTTAGGTACTTTACTGCCTCCCCACAGCATTTCGAAGGTAAGATTAGTGTTTGGCCGTATTTAACTGCCTAATAGAGCTTAGCGGAATCGTGGGTTTACATCAGAAATCGCCCATTAGTCAGCTTAATGAACTGAGGATCGACAAAACCAGTCCATGTGGAAACTTTCAAATTGACAATTACCACTCATTGATCCAAGCGTGGATCATTTTCGTAGATGCGGAAATGTTTTACTGGAATATTGTGATGTTCAGTTGGTGGATTTCCAATGAATCCAAATTATTAACAAGTTAGTTGTTAGTAGACAAGGCACTAAAAAGTGTTCAAGCATTTGTTTCGACCATCTTAACATGTCCAACTTCAAGTCGGCCAAAATATTTCAATTTCTATACTATTTTGAGCATAAAAGAAAGACAGTTTAATAAACTGGTGTGGTTCAGTTGGCGTTTCAAGAAGGTGATTAGTTGAAATTGAATGATCCGTAAATAGTCAATGTGGAACTAAACTGGAACTTTAGGAAGTTGAAGAAGCCTGACTGCTTCATGCAATTTATCGAGCCTCATTTTTCTTCTTTTCGCCAATGTTTTGGCAAAAATTAAGAGCCCCCGGATAATTTTTCTACAGCTAATTTTCTTCATTTTGCTATTAAAACAAAAATGCTGATTTTTGAATCTCAACACCAAGAGTTCAAAGATATACCAGATATATCGAAACGGTTCTTTAATTTTTCAGAATTTCAGAACCCGTTTCTTTACAGGGTGGTCTCAAAATTCAACTTTTTGGTCTTGCTGTGACCACTTTTCTGCTCGTAGTCACACAGTCTTAGGGTTGCATACAAAGTTATCCAAATCAGAATTGCCCCCGAAATCGATGATTCGGGAAAATACTCCAATAAGTAAAATGTACTTTAAAACATTTCGTTCCTTGTTTCATTCAATCTGGTCAATTTAATTTTTTTCTTCAGTCGGCTGGCAAGTTTTTGATTCAACATCTTCTCAAAAAAATTAACTGCAATACCAAAAAGTTGATTTTTTAGACCACCCACAGAAAATGCAACAATTTCTTCCGAGACCTGAGGTGTATCTTAATGCATGTGGTGTTTAAATACGAAAAATGTTCCTTTATCCAACTGAGAGCTTGTGTGGAATGTGGAGCTTAGACCAATTTTGCATTGCTTTATTTGCCACCTGAAGAACTAATTTTTTGCAAAACCACGCACTAACCGCAAACGAATTGTACTAAATAAAACTTCGGACAGAAATACAATCTCTATCAACAAAGCGAACTTGTCCAGTTCCAAAGTTGCTCCAAATTTTTCTGTGTATAATATATAAATTTTTCTATGTGTAATTGGCGTTGTTGAGTTGTTTAGTTGGAGAAGACTATGCAATAGTTTGCGTTTAGTTTTGGCAACATGTTAACTGAAAACATCAGGTAATCAATACCAGAACCCGCTCTAGAAATATAGAATATGCAAAACGTGAACATCAAAAGACCAGGCGTTAATTATGCGAAGTTCTTCCTCCGGCCAAATTCTTGCAAATTTAATTACGAGCCTCGCCCGGAAGAAAAATGACTGACGTTCCAAAACTCCAATAAAAAAATTTAAAAGACTTTACTGGTTTTCCCTTATCAAACGTCGCATTCAAAGCTTTAATTATGATTTTATGAAATTGAAAAACATCCATGAACAGCCGCAGCGTTGGGATTGAAAGTTGCAGTGAACAATTCAAATGGGTATAGAAACATTCTATTCGCCTCAGGCGTGTTTCATATACTTAGATATTGCAGCTTGGCCCTGTAATGTACCGAACATTTTTTTCTTATTACAATTACTAATCAACATACAGATGTGGCAATGGTTTATTGGCATTTGCTTTGTAATTTGGCATTGGCAAAGCAGGTACATGAATGTTTTCACCGCTTTAGTAAACCGTTTGTTGCAAAACCCGTCGTAGATATTAATAGATTTAATCTCAGCATTGGGAAGAACAATCTTTAAAGCCATTTAATGTAATAAATAACGACAAATACCAATCAATCATGCTTTAGAACACGTAGGCGGATTGAAGTGGTGTGTAGGTGACACTCAACTATGACCCATGTTTCCAATAACACACATTCTTGTACAAAGAAAGCTGATGTAGGAAGTGCGAGGAATGTTTAATCTGTTACGGCTGTTCTCAAATCTGACTATTTTTAGTGCATCACTTCTAATTTCTACCTTCAACCAACGAATAAACTAAATGGCAAGTGGTCTCGATCATTGTTTTCAGTCACGAAATTCTGCTGACCCTATTTCCGGAAGAGAAGCGGCTAGAAAAATAAAATTTCCATAAACAGTGCATTATTTTGGCCGATGTGAATAGAGCAAAATTTAACAATGTCACAGTGCCAGTAAATTACGCTTCATTGTACCTTTCTGCGTTCAAATGGAGCAAATTTAAATAAAAATATATGCGCCATGTGTGCATGGACAATATTTTTTTCTATCTTGGAAAGCGGACTGAATTTTATGTCATTGTAAATCGGGGATTGTTGATTTCGACCGGCCGCTTTATTGGAAAATGCCCCTTTTTTCCGAATCAATCCCGCATAAAAGCCAGTTTATTTCAATAGTCTTTCAATCTATTGAGTAAAAAACATCTGCAAAACCGAGTACTTTGCTTAGAATAACCGATCCGTATGCAATGAAACACTTTTAGACGTTTTCTCAGCCCCATAAAAATGTGGATGCACCACACCCATGAGCATTCAGTGAAATCCTACGCGTTGCAAAAGAATTTTTTCTTCGATTATCTCGATGGCTGCACCTCAATGTTTTTAATAACCAAATAATCATTCTTCGCTCACGATCTATGGGTCATTCCAAGGATTCACCGACATCAGGCAAATGGGTGCCGGGTTGCCCAATTTGCGTTATTAAATCGGGTAATAAACAAAAAAGAGCTGCGCCCTTAAAGCAGTCCAAGAGCTCTTGAAGACTCGCCCGGGGAAAACAATGATAATTGCTTTAATTTAATTGTTTTTAGCGTTGCGAGGGTGCGTAAAGGGAATTTTTCGGGTCGGTTCATTACGAGTCAAACAATTATTGTTGCGGTGTCGCCCTCTGAAAACCGTCGTTTCTTTGAAAGAATGTTTCAAGTAAGTTTCTTCATCAGACCTTGTTTGGACAATTTTGGCCAAAAGTTCATCAAAATGTCTCCACTTGCACTAAAGCCAATGGAAATTCGTCCATCCGGACTAAACCACTTTTCGAAATCTCCCAGCTTGTGCCGGTTCCATTCAATGGCACTCACTCTGCTAAAATTCAATCAATTTTATTAAACGAAAATGAACATGAACTATCGCAATAACGAGAAAAGCGAGCAACAATTTTCTATTATAAGCGTACAATTCAATCGCGACCTTTTGTTCCTCGACGTTCCTTCATTTCGGCAAATAAAAGACGAATTATGGAAACAGCCAAATAACAGCTGCGATCAAATTATTATTTTCGCTCTCAACAAACGGAACACTATTCCTTGGAAGACTAACAATGGAGGACTGTAATTGAAAGAAAAAACGGCAAATGAAAAAAGATTAGCGAAGCATCGAATATTTCAATTGAAACTTGCACAAACACTCGCCTTCAAATGGCATAAACATTCATAAATTTTCAACCATAAAACCGCGATGCACTTTTCCCTAGACAATTGCCTTGCATTATATCATCTAAATGGGACGTCGAGTCTTAGTACATATTCAAAAGATCCATAAAGCAAAAACGGTTGAAAATAGAGCGACGTTCAGTCCAAGAAATATGACTAGTCTCCATTTCAAATGCA